TTTATAGAAAAATTTAAAAGTGACTTAAAGTAGTAGAAAGAGCGGTTTGGAAATCAAGTTGTTATAGTGAACCTTTTAAGTAACAGTAGTATTTTGGCGAAATGAATTGCCAAAACTTATATTTTATAAAGGTTTTCTGTGATGCTTATCTGCATTTGTTGCTTTCACTGTTGAACTGCTCATTTAGGGTTCCTAGTTTATTTAATTTCAGGCACGGATTCGAGCCACTGGCCGTCGTCCTCCTGAAAGGCACAAAGATGCTGCACGGAGAGCAGCTGCTGAAAAGGAGGGAGCGCAAGCCATTGGAGCGGTGTCTCCATTTGGAGAAGATGAAATGGTAAAAAACGTACTCCAGAACTTGTTACAACAAGTTCATAATGAGGTTAGGAAGAGAAGTGGTTCAGAAGCGGAAGAAGAACTCACTCTGGAGGAACCACCTGAGAAAGTCCGTGCCGTGAGAAAGAGTAGTTCCTCCGCACTGATGTCTCTTTTAGGCAGAAGGAGAACTTCTTCAACTAAGAATACCGATGACGAGGTTGTTAGGAAGAAAAGTACCTCGAAAGAGCCAGAAAAGAGGGGATTTGATAACAGGATACCTGTTGCTTTAGAAAAGCAGAAAGAAGAAAAAGCTTCAGGTGAACGTACCTCTGCAAGAAAAAAACGTTTTTCAAAGGAGGGACGAAAGGTTGATGAGCAGAAGGAGGAACTTAAAGAGGGTGAGAAGAATGTTGCTGAAAAAAAAGCTGAAAAGCCTGCTGAAAAAAAACGCGTAGGAAAAGGAGTTAATAAATTGGCAGAAGAGTATGATAGGTCGGAAAAAGTACTCGCAGATCTTACAAGCGAGGTTACAAGGCCTATGGCGGCACAGGTTGATGTCAAAGGGATTAAAAAGGCTGTTGCTGAACCAAAAGGAGAGGTTGGCGAATTGACGGAAGAAGTTAAGGCACGTGGTAGGGAGAATGGTGAAGTTAGGAGAAAGAAAGAGGATACACAAAAAATGAAGACTGCGGAAGGTGAGAAGGTGGAGACGGAGAAAGCTACCTCTTCTGATCTCGGTGGAAAGTACCATTTAGAAGGGGAGAGTTCTTCCAAGTCTGCAGAAGTGGCGCAGGGACAAGATGATGCGTTCTTAAAGACCAAAGATATTTTTACCCTAAGACTGGAGTCATTACAGTTGCCTGCGATTGAGTGGAAACCGTACTGGTCACATAAGTCCAAAACGGAAGATTTCAGTCTATATGCTGTCAATAATGAGACTAGACTCGAGGCGAAAAGAAGAAGCACATGTTCACTGTTTGTTGAGAAGCGCAAAAGTTTTTTTGAGTCCCTGAGTGGTAGTACCTCAGTAAGGAATGGGAAATTTGGGCCAAAACATTCTCATGGTTCTCTGGCTTTACGTGGGGAAGCCGGGAGTGTAAAAATAAAAAAAAATGGGGAAGAAAGTTTAGGGCGAGAAGTTTTGAAAGATTCTAGCTATGTTGAACTTTTGCAGCCTTCTGACGAAGAATCACCGAAAGACGTAGGTCTCACAGGTACAGCAGGGGAGGAGAAGCTATCTCTGTTTTTCGACTCCGACGATGACATTTTTAAAAAGACGTCTTCGACTACCGAGGAGATTGTAGCTGAAGAAGTTCCAACTGCATCTGTAGCTAACAGTGAGGAAGCAGGTGGTGAAGCAGCGCACCCAGAAGTGGTACCTCGAGAACCTTTGAATAAATTTGATCCAAAACCGACTCCTGCTCCAAGGGCTGTAACACAACGTATATTCGACTCGGACTCAGATGATGATTTATTTAAAAAGTCTAAAACAGTGACGAAGGCGGAAGAGTCGAAAGACTCAACGGCGAAAGCTGGAGAAAAGCCTTTCAAATCTGAAAAAGTTGTTATGAAAAAGCAAGAAGTTCAGTTATTGAAAAGGCACGAAAAGAAAGGAGGTTTGTTTGAGGATAGTGATTCCGATAATCTGTTTGGTTAATGTTTTGTTATTACTTGTATCTATCTAAATATTTTTGTTATATGGTGATTTGGATCATTTTGATGTAACTTTGATGAAAGAAATCAAAGGAGTTTTGGCAATTATTTGATTGACGAGCAGGGATTAGAAGATTCATTGTTGTTAGGGACAGGTGATGTTTGCAAATCTTGATGATATTATTCCAATCTTTTTTGACATTATGATATCACTGATTGCCAAGGAATTCCGGCTAGGTATAAAGCTTACTTTCAAATCGTCAAAAGAATATTAAGTGGTAAAGTTATGCAAAAATTGTTTGTTATTGTTCTGAAAAACTTCAATTGTCAATTAATTGCTTCATTATTTAGTGTATCTCGCTGTGGCGATGGCGCATTAATCTAATTGTCATTTGATGGACTAATGCATGGCATTAGTTCTGTTCGCTGAGCATTAGATTTGTTTAGGATTTAAGCGTTTCCTGTTTGTTTACTTATGGAAAATTGGATAATTTCTTTAGTTCTGTCATGTTAATTTTTACCTTACGAAGGGTTTATAAATTTTTTTTGTGTTTATTGTTATGTTCTAATTGGTCTTAAATATAAGACGCTGATTGGAGTGACTTGCGAAGGAAATTTCTTAAAGTTTATTTAAAGTTACTGATAAGTTTGGTGTTGGATTTAAAATTCGTGGCAGAACTGAGCTTTAGGAGCAGTTGACAGGTTAATAGTATTGGTTTCGGAGAATGGTTTCGTCTTTTAAAGACCGCAAATGCAGCGCTGTAGTGGAGCTGAAAATCACTGATGTTTGTTGATTTAGCAGGGGTTTAAATTTTGTCGTCATTTATGATAATATCTTCTGGTTTATGGCAGCACACAAAGTACAGCTTATTGGAGACTTTTATCATCACGGAGATACATTCGTTATTGTGTTTATTTATTTATTTTGGCTACACTACAAGATGTTTGCGACTATTTCTTTTTTTTTTTAGGTTCTCATATTTTTGTCAAGGGAAAGTCGTTTATTTTGGTGCAGTTGTAGCCAGGAAACTAGAGAGTTGTTTTTAAACTTAATACTTCAGTGACGTAACCTTATTTAAATGGCATATAAGAGAGGAAACAGGAAATCTTGCCGAAAACTGTCCTATACGAATGCTGGATATGTTTTTGCAGTGGCAGATATTTCAAATTCACTGACGTTTACATGGTTTTCTTTGAGTGTATTAAGACAGCTATTGTATTCACATGTGTTTCATACAAACATTACCCACTGATCTAAAAATGATAAAAAATTATGTGTTTTTTGTTCGTCAAATTTTACCTAATTTTTTTTACTTTACAGGATTCAAGGTGATTGAGCATGTATGTATCACTGTACATCATTTTGTTGATGAATTTGTACGTTCATTTTATACCATAACGTTCTATTGGGCAACTTGACGCTTTCTTTCTTTCAACCTGCCTAAGCCATCACAAGCAGTTCACGTTTGCTGTAATCAAGCGAGTGGTAACGAATCATATTAATGCAGATTGATACAGGTAATTGCTTGTCAAATTGCATATTTTTTTCACTTGGTCTGTTAAACCTCTTTTTTATTCTTTTAAATTCTGCTGAAATTTTAGCTCCAGGCCTTGAATTCAAGAAATCTCTGGAAGGCTCAGGTAAAATTAATTCTTTGCCAGGTTTTGCTTTGCAAAAGCATAAATTTTGGTTTTTTTTCTTTTTTATAATCAGAAGCTCGTTGAAAGATTGCAACTTTTTCAGCCGCGTGATCATAACTATATAATTTTGAAACTTTGACAAAGACTGGTTCCTTTTTGTTTCGAGAATGATGTCTGTGTTATGCAAGTTTCAGCGAGAAAAGGTTGAAATTTCCTGGATGAAAAGAATTAGATGGATTATTAGGAGAAGCATGTTGATAATTCTTCAAAAAAAAAGAAAAACTTTTATATTATAAATTTAAAAGGTCATAGAGTAAAACTTGAATGAGATCAGAAGTTACATTTGCCAGAATAGAATTACGTAAAGATATCTTTTGCATTTAGCTAATTTCTTCAAATGCAACTTAGTGAGTCCAAAATTTGCACAGCGTTATTTTCGGTGTGGGAAATGATTTGTTCACAAGGTTTCACCAAGCAGAACTTTTCTCCAAATTGGATTCGGTTCAGCAGAAATAACCTTTGCAGCTGTCGACATTTTAGCTCATAACCCTTTTTGTTGTTGTTGTTTTATGGAGAAGAAAATTGTGCACAAATATATTTGAGTTGGAAAATTGTTGTTTGCTTTTTTTTTTGCAAAGTGCTGTCATACAAAGTCAAAAGTGGAAACTTTTTTTTTTTTTTGAAAGGTTCACTGCTGTCATAGGGTTGGTTGTTCATTAATTAAACACTTTCTGCACCAATTTTGCATACTAAATTTTGGCTTCTCTCATAGTTGGAATTTTTCTTTTTTTGATGATAAAATTTGTGTTAATAAAAAATTAAGAAGTTTACAAAAGATGTAAACATATCAGTCTGTAAACAAATTACAGATTTCTGTAATTTTATCATAAATGCTTTTGTTGTTGTTGTTTTTTTTTTTTTTGGTGTTTTTAAAAACTGCTGTTTTGAAAATGTAAGCTTTTGATGAACTGTATTTTTATTGTTAATCAACTGTTGTACCTAAGGTATTATTTGCTTTTGCACACATTTTATCAATTAGTCAAATCAGTGAACTTTTTTTCTGCTAATAGCACTTAGAAAAATCCTCTTTAATTTTACACTTTTATTTCATGTGTAATATCTTTTGTTTTCTCTTTTTTTTTTTTCTGATTTTATTTTTTGCTTTTTGAAAACCTCTCTAATTCGCAGTAACACAAAAACCGTGGAGCATAAGATCAGTGTCATTTTGAGGTGCTTTCAATGAACTGAGACTGTTCTGGTAGAGTTGGATTGATAGACAGACTGGTTGACTAAGGAATCAGTGTATGTTTGGTTTGTATTGATTGTTGGTTGTTAAATTTTATTTTCTTGCAAAATCATAAAACTTTTTTAAAGATGTTGAAAAAAAAACCTTTCAACTGAAAGTATGGAACTGCAATCCCCTCATTTTATGCCTTTTTTAGGTATTTCTTAAGAAAAAGACAAAAATCTCTAGTATTTTTTTTCTTTTTGGTAAGATCTATTAAAGTAAAAGAATTTTTTTTTATTTTCAAATTAACATTGCATAGACCAGTAGATGAAAAAATATGAACATTTAATGTTTTTTGTAAAACTTGAAGCAATAGAAAAAAAGAGAGAGGAAAAAACAAAGATAAAAGTTTTAGTGAACTTTTTTCTTTAGAATTTCAATGAAGAAAAAAAATGCTGTTTATATACTGCGATACTTGCTTTATGTTTTAATCAGAAATCTTTATTCTTTTTTTGGCACTGGCAATCACTTATAATACAGTACTAATGATATATA